GGGGGGGTTCGCGAGTGGTAAGTGAAGCTGAATCCCAATTTTCCGACAGTAGTGCGCCTTTTGAATTTTGAACTATTCACGTCGCCTGTCAGCAGCAAGCGAACCAAAAGTCTGCTGCGTAAATTGCTTGGACAAAAACGTCGAAAGTGGAGGGAGTATCACGAATGTCATCACCTCTTGAGAGCAATCACAATTTACCCCGTCTCCGATGCATACGGGCGGTCATCTTACCGATCTCCACCTTGGCTAGAGTTCGGCGCTCGATCTCCGAAGCCGCCCCCGACACTGGCGTCAGCAGATCTCCGGACTCGCAGCAGTGCCCGACGACCACGTACTCGGCGGTGTCACCATCGCCTTCCCCCTGAGAGAAGGGGCGCCGCAGGGGAGATGATTTGGGGGTGGGGGGAGGGCATGTTTGTCACTTGAGTTGGTCTCTTGACTTCTGAAAAACAACACCCAGGTCCCCCTGCTAAAAAGAGGCGAATTGAAAAACGAGCAATGAAAAAATGGCGGGGAAACTTGAAACGAACGAACTCCGCAATAGACCGGTGCCAAAAAACAATAAAAAAATAACATCCCACTGACCTCGCGGCGCTTGCAGAAAAAGAACATAAAGAAAGCAAAGGTGGTGAAGAAACCCTAGACAAACAAAAAAAGTCCCCTGCGGAGAGCATAAAAAAAAACACAACAACAGCCACACAACACTACCATGAAGGAGAACCCCCCTTTCTCCACACACCAAATTTCGGGCAAACCAAAACAATAGCCGAGCAACACAATCATCAAGAAGAGTCCCCCTCGTTGCACACACCTCCGCGGGCACGACGACGATGGGGTGGAGGGCGCCGTAGAGCGACGGCCGGAGAAGCTCCGTCATCCCGGCGTCCAGCTTGATGAACTCGTAGCCGCCGCTGCCCGTGCTCACCAAGTCCTGCGCCGTGCAGACGAGGCTGCCGGCATTGGCGACAAGGAACGTCCCGGGCTCGATCTCCAGCTTGAGCTTCCGCCCTGTCTCTTGGGCGAAGGCCTCGAAGTCCTCCATCACGGGGGCACCGATGGCCTGCAGGTCGGTCGACTGCTCTCCCGACATCCGGCCCACCTGGGTGGAGTAGTAGGGTACGAAGAGGTTGCAAGGGTACGGCACGTGGGGAGCTGGAGAGTTGGGGATCTCGAGATTTCGAGATTTCGAGAATTCGATACTTCGATATTTCGAAAGAGAGGGAGAGGGAGAGACACGCACACAACCGCAGTAGCAGCCTTCATAGACGTGTGCAATTTTCTTCTGTTGCTACCGTGTATGTCTTTGATCCGGAGAATAGGTTAGTCTCCCCCATGCCGCCCCCTCACGGGGTCCCATTTAATGGCATTCAGAAGTGTTCTTGGTTTTCACCCGAACTGAGACTGACGTCTTTTCACTGGTCAGCCGGTTGGCGTGGTCGATGCTAATAATAAAAACACACATACATATACAGAGGGTTCCTGAACCTCACATTCGGTAGCAGCAACAAGAACAACACCAACAGCAGCAGCAGCAGCAGCAGCAGCAGCCACAAGACAACTGAAAGATACTGGGGGAGCGAAAGATAAAATCAACAACACATCCTCACCTTGTAGCCGCCTCCCAAGTTCAGGGTGGTAACGGTGGGGAACTGTCGCACGAGGTCCAAGCTCATGCCGGACACCTGCACCCAGAAAAACAGCATTGCGCCGGCAGGCAAGGGATCAACACCGCACGACCAGTTGGACCGGGATTCAACTAGAGGATTCCCATAACAACCCATGAACTTGACGGAACGTTACCACGCAACACTGGCTACTATACGGCCTGCCTTCTTTGCCTTCATCCTTACAAACAACCGTCGCAAGAAAAAAAAAAAGTTCCGTCACGACGAACAACTGGATTGGTGCATAGGTGGTGTCGATACCAAATGGCACATCTTCGAAGATATCTCGATCGGGCCATTTTCCAAGGAGCAACCATCCCTGCACGCCCCTTGTTGGACAGACATGCCCACATCGGCCTCGGAAATTCATGAGTGCACTAGCAGTGTGGGACGCCGTTACGGATGAGAGCGCAGCGCGACGCAGTGCGCGAAACAGGCGGGAACCCGCAGGTCATATGTTGCAACATCTACACCCAAAGGAGCCTTCAGCCTCCTCCACGAAAAGATTCAGAACCACCCCTCGCCACCACAACAAGAATGACGACGAAGACGACACAACTTCCAAAGCTAGGGTACAACGCACGCCTCCACCCTCCGCTGTAGACAAAGCCCGCACAAACCTTCTGCCACACGGCCGGATCGGAGCCCGACCCGATGTGCGTGTGGATGCGGGAGACGGTAAGGTCACCGCCGGCGCAGATCTCCTTCACCTCGTCCGCCCACTCGTACCAGATCCCTGCAAACCACAGCAACGGCAGAGTTGAGTGACGACGACCAACGACGACAACAATGCGAACGGAAGGGGCACTTGACTAGCAACGCTGTCGTTCGGGATGCTGGACACCACACGTTGGCCTTTCCTCATCCACGCCACTAACACCACACACAACCAGCAACCGTAGCTTGCATTCATGCTTCGCACCCCACACCCCCACAGTCACCACCCTTAGCTCCACTTTACCCCTCGTACCCACCAACCGCTTACCACTCACCGAAAGACGAAGAGGGGCCGCCCACGTTGGTGCTCTTGGTTCCCCCCGACCCCAGCCCCGGATTAAACCGCACCCCGACCGAAGACCCCGGCGCCTCCTCAGCAATCCTCCGGAGCTGAGAGAGAGAGCACGCGTTGATGTCCACGCCCATCTTGAGCAGCTCCGCCGCGTCGGGGGGCAGCTCCTGCGAGCTGTTTTCGCAAGGGGGTTGTGAGGGAGGTCGAGACGTGGCGGGGTATTGTTGCTCCCTCGCCGGTGTCCGAAGCATGGTCTCGCTGACAGGCGCAGCGCGTGCTGCCACTATATATACTGTCCAAACACTGATCTTGCCGAGACGTAGATAGGAGCAGCGCGAGCTGCTGCCAAGTAGTGCTTCGTACCACATAATCGCGTTTCGGCATCGGGCCGATTCCGCACGAGCACCCCCACTCCCTGCCCTCCCTGCACAAAAACCGCCCCGAGTATTTCAGCTGCACGAGGCTGTACGTTGGTCTTCTCGCCACCACCGCACAATGCGGTACCCACAGCTCAGCTCCTTGCGGGGTGCTGGGTCTTGCGGGTACGGGTCAATCGGACAGGGAGACAATAAAGAGGTCTCGACACGGAAAACCGCTGACCCTCATCAGGAAGAGAAAACTGGTACGGAAAATAAGGTATGGAATGCGGAGGTGCCGGGCAGGGGCAAAGCCCACAAAGGGCTTCACTTCGTAAGTACCAACAACATTAGCGACACCACTATTCCCTGCTGCCACCACCACCACAAGCAGCAACAGCAACAACGCCATCCGTGAGACGCTACTAACCTGAGACACAGGCTCTGAGGGGGCACTCCCGCCGCGATGGCCCTCTCCACCTCAAACCCGCTGCTGCAGTCGAAATGCAGCCCGAGGCTGGCCGCGATAGAGTTACGCGAAGCGAAGACAGAAGAAAAGGAGGACGGTTAGAGCCACTTTTATGATAGCAGCACCTGCGGTGCTCATCAGTGAAAACAAAATCAGACAAACCTGATGCTGTGCGCGGCAAACAAAGCCCGGACCGCCGCTATCCCCACCACCACCACGCCGCCAGCACAACTACCGCCCTCGCCCCCGCCCCCACATCTTCACGTATGCCTGTCTTCCGTGTGCTTAGAAGGTCGACAAGCCCCAGGCGACAATGCAAAGCAAATCCCCAATCATCTGCATCGACCAGAACACGTTTTTCAACTCGGGACCCAATCTCACACCCCAACACGCACGACGATAAGCAGGAACTCAGGCACGGTGTTCGCTGACAAATTGCCTGCCCAGGACAACCTCAAATGGAGGAGCTGGAGGGGGGGGGTCGTTTCTTCGCCATATCACGGAGCCCCAGCTGCACACATCGTTCACCCCGGTGGTCTAGTGGGTAACCTCGCAGCCTGCTAAGGGCCAGATCATGGGTTCGAGTCCCGGCAGAGTGAGTTTTTCTCACTAAATAAATCCTGGTCTAGGTTGAAAGCGACGCGCTGCAAAGCTCGTTGTTAGTAAACCATAATCGACTTCGTAAGTCGCGAGGGAAGGGATCGCTGTACCCTTCTCGCGATAAAAATACCTCAGGCATGAACCGCAGGAGGGGGTCCAGCCCCCCCCTCCTCTGTGACCCCGGTTGGGTCGTCTAGCTAGTAGAAGTGGAGGATAGGGGCCAGAGGGGCAGACGACAGAGTCCAATGATGGGAGAAAAAAAAGAAAAACATCTGTCCGATTGCTGTGTTGAAAGCCAATTTCGCACCCTTGGAACAGCTGCAGCACCGCCTTGTTGGGGAGGCTCTTCATGGCGTAGCGCACCGTTAGGCCGTAAGCGTTCGGGAACGCCAGGCACGCCTCCGCGTTGGCCTTCAGGCTCGCCGCGTCGTACACGTAAGCCGGGGTCCCCACGGCCGCCTTCGTCGCGCGCGCCGTCTGAGCGGCCAAGACGAAAAGATGAGGCCACCCGGAGGGGAGGGGGGTGGCAAGGGAGATGCGCACCGAGGGAGAAAGGAGGCAACGACAGGGGAACGGAGGTCATGGTTGTACGGGCATACGCGCGCAGGCTGCTGCGCGTGAGCTCATTGGTCGGCCGATTCGTGCTTCCGATGTCCAAAAGCAGAAACACATACACACAAGTTATCATGGCGTTCAAAACCGTTTTTCGCCTTTAGCCTCATTGATACCGACGGGTGCTCATTGATCAGCCGGTGAGCGCCTTAGATGCCAAGAACACCAACACAAACATACATACAACGACTACAGTCGACGAGATGACGTAGAAAACCAAGGAAGGCGAGCAAAAAGTGTCCACACCAGACAAGGACACGGGGGAACAGCCATCGCACACACGTAGTCGGCAAATCCAGCACGTTTGGACGGAGCCAGGTAACAGCATCCATGTGCGCCGGAGGCACGCACAACCGCCGCCGTCGCGCGCGACCCGCCGATGGTTGTTGTCGAGTCACACAGCTATGCAAATGTCGGCACGCGGAGCAACCCCTGAGTAAAATTTCGTCGCCACCAATCTTTCGCAACGCGCCAAAGGCTGGGTATGCCCCGGACATCCATACAGTAGACAAAACATACCACCGCAGATGTGAGCTTTCAACATCCGGACATGCGCAAAAAAAACTCTGACGTCCATGCTCTCATCTTACTACCATCAAACAAGATGGTGCTGGGATCAGACAAGGACCAGACCAAAGACTCGAGAGGCGTGGCTCCAGCGTAAGGGCACGCGTCGCAACAGCTTTCCGCGTATGTGGGCACTTCCATCGTCGAGAAGGGCGACCATTTTCAACGAGAGACAGCGGCTGACAGAGCAGAAAAGGAGGCAGAGGACAGGGGATGAGAATGGAAGACGAATGAAAACAGTCTCCCTCTTCCCACACAAACCTCAGGGGTCAGGAACTTGAGCGTTTCAAGCTGCTTCTGCCCCACGGCCGCCTCGGCAGCCACCATCTCGACCCGTGTGCTGCTCGCAGAAGCGAAGCCGCCGCTCCGGCCCAGCCGCGCACACTCTCGTCCCCGAGCCAACGCCGAAGAAGTTGTCAAAAACGCTACACATACCTTTTAGGAAGAGATCAGCGCAGCGAGGAACAACGGAAGAGAGCGAAATGGGAGTCAAGACCGTGCATCCAGCAAAAGCAGGAGGGGATATATACACAGGGATAGAATACGTGTGGGGATGCGCAGGTCTCCTTTATCAGGGATGAAATCTCACGCAATACGCACGTCTGACGATGATGAACCCTTGAGTGTGGCTCACTGCAGCGGCTCCACGAAAATAGCTCTGGCAATCATGAAAGACCAAAACTACGTATCGATCCACATGCAGAATACTGAGGAGCGTTGTGGACGACGGAACAACCACAAGAATCAGTGCTCACGTAGCCAACATAAAATCTTTTGGCACATTGATACACGAGATACACGTGCCGTCGCACATCTGTGGCGCGCCCCTTCGTCACGCAGCGTTTCGGAAATGGTCGATTTTCCCCAAAATGTATTCCCAAATTCGTGAAAGACGGGCAGCCCATTGCGGTCCATGAGGCAAAAGAGGCGGGACAAATCCTGCTGACGATCAAACCGTAAGGGCTGAGAACTCCCAAGAAGACGGAGGACAACAGCAATAAAATGCACAAGCTAACTTCCATGTGGTTTATCCCCCTGCTGTGTGACACCCCGGCGGTGCTTCCAAAACTACACCGAACAGGTGTAACAATCGACGACATGGGACAACAATACACAGACAAGGATACGACTTGTGTTTCCGCATTCATCGCATCCGCGTTAGCCCAACCATGATGCTGCGGACGACGTAGACTTGGTGTGTATCTGCAGCAGAAAGGCGCACAATCAAATTGAGGACGACACCACCTACAAGCCCAAGCCTACTGGCCAAGCTTCACCAGGGGCGCGCTCGTCACGTGCCAAGATGAAGGATGCCCCTCAAATGGTGTGGCAGTAAGTACCTCCTGCGTCTGCTCCGGGTGCGATTTCAAACTTTGAGGTATCTGAGCGCCGGTTCTCGTGGTCCCTCGATCTTTCTCTCCTATGTACTCGGTCGTGTTTCGTCTACCGAGCAGAGCTTACACTGGGCAAAGGGCCAACCGCTGTGGTGCAGCCAGCGTTCCCGTAGCTCCACTCCCTTATTCGAACCTCCACATGGAGTGCTTCTCCCGGCCGGGAAGCTACAAATACAGCAATACACACCCAGACGCACATTTGCCCGGCACATTCATTTACAATACAAATCTGGCAAGCTTAGATAGTGGCACGTTCCACGACACAGACCACACCACAAGTTTTGTCTTGGTTTTCGGACATCATGTTTGGTATTGTATATTGAACTACGCATACTATTTACAGCAGCAGCGGTCGGCACTCGACGATCTCCTCGCATGCTTAATGTGAACTGCTTGGACCGCACTTCGCCGAACAAAAAGACACAACATGGCGATGGACCGCATTCGCCATCATGGTAAAGCCTCTCTCTGCCGCAGGCGGGACCTGTGAGAGCACACCCGCCGTTGTCATGTATTCCTAGAAAACATGCGATACATGGTGTCCGAATATTAGGGCACCACGGGAGCTGAAAAGGGGCACTCCTGCTCTCGGGAATCACCTGAACGGTTAGAGAAGCCACGAGAGCCACTGCAACCAACCGGGAAGCCCTTGATCTCGGTGTTGGCGCCATGGTGTCGGTGTCGATGGCAACAAAGGCTGAGCACACAGCTGAGAGCAACACCTGTAGGGGGCTCGCACAAAATATTTTCATGGGTATGTATTTGTTGGATGGGGTGGGATACACGGAGCCTCGAGAGCCGCCGCTTGTTGCTCGTGCAAGGCAAGGACCATGCCAAATGCAATGCTTCAAGCAGGGCAGTGTGAGTGAGCACCGTCATGTCGAGAGATGCTACGGGGGAGGTTCCCGCGGACTCAGCGGTGTCGGCGGGGAACAGGCTCGTCTCCGAGCCCGCTTTCGAGCTCCTTTTCTCAGAGATCATCGCCTACACGGGGGCCTACGTTTCGCACTTGGCGACAAGCCACGCCACGGACAAGTTGAGAGCGTCCGAGCCAGGCGTAGAAGACGAGGAGGGGGGGGAGAAGGGGGGGGGTGATGGTGATGATGGAAGTGATACCGGTGGGTCGCTAGTGAAGCCGAATCCGGCCTCGGTCGGGGCTGGGCACCAGCTGTTACCGGTAAGCAAGTCCCCTCTCTGCTGTTGCAGCAGAGTTCCAAGGACGGACACACCGCTTGCTCATATACAGCCGTAACGCAATTCTTCCTTGCCAAAGCTATTGGGGGGTGTCGGCACCCTCCCTACCAATGCACTCAGTTTGTGCAAGAGCTGCGTAAATGGCCTCGTTTTCATTGGTTTGTTTGTACGTCCACCATCCCACAGCAGTATGTATTGGTACAGTCTCAGAAGGATCTTTGTTCTTCACAGCGGCCAGATGCTGTACAGCACTATTTTCAATTTTGGATAGGCAACCTCTTACAAAGCGTCCTGGGCAGAGCGTGTTGTTGGTGTTCGTGAGCAAGCCCTTTTTTTTGCATGGATAGAGCAGCGCTACAGAAGTCCCTCCATGTATGCATCGGTCTACATTTTCAGCCAATAAGAGATATCCAAGGTAAATGATATGTGTATGTCCTACTTCCTACATATATTTAGTAACGATAAATCTCTCTGCTGTACCCGGTGATTGCGTTGTGTACGGCGGGAATTGCAGATTTTCTCCGGTGGTCGTTGTCAGCAACGACCTTTCACGTTCCGTCGCAACGCTGCTGCATTTCTTGCGTTTCCGCGAACGCGGTGTAAATATCGGCGGGTTTTCTTTTCGGCATCCCGTGGCACTGAGCGTGTGGCACAATGATCCTTGAAAAGGCATGTGTTGGCACGGTTGGAGACAAGAGACTCAGATTGGCTCGCTTAATAGTCTCGGTTTTGACTCGGTACGAATAGGACCCGTGTGAAACATGATGTTCATGGCCCCACGATCACGATCATTGTCCCATCATATGCATGCGTGTCTGTATCTCTCTCAACGCCTTAGCCGCTGCCCCCTCCCCCATCGCTGCATATTAGAGAGTACGTGTTTGCTTTTCTACTTGAGCATCTAGACTTAACAAGCTCTCGCCTGGCGCTGCTACATTTGCGCTTCCATTGTCCGCCGCCACCACGCCGCTATTTTAGTCGGATCAAGCGCAGCAGATGGAGGCAAGAATCGAAAGCATGGGGTACGAGGTGGGGTACCGGCTGGTGGAGAGGACATGCCAAAGGCGGTGGATGGGAGGGGACCAGCTGGAAGCGATCAAGTTCGTTTGCAAAGACTTGTGGTCGGACGTGAGTGAGGGAAACATCAGTGACTACTTTTACCACTGAGCAGTCACGGATAGCCGCTGATGATGCGGGCGAGCACGTCTAGAAGAGTGGGTTATTCCACGCAACCGTGGAAGCTGTTGTGTTTGAGATGAATTAGGCCACTCTAAGTGTCCGATAGATTGTCGCTCGGCCAAAAGTAGCCTGTCGGTTTCGCTCCAAGGCCGCCACAAGATACCGTGTACACTTCATGTGTTGTGGCTCCGAAATTGACCGCCACCTTTGCTCTGGCCATGAGTGTTTCTCTACATAGCGACTTCTCCCTCGTCAAGACCAGGGCGCCTTCCCGAAGATGTCTCCTCCCTCCCCCTCTGTCGCATTTGTTTCAAGCGCACGCTCCACTTTGAAGCAATGCCCCTGGACCCCCGCTCCATTCTGTGTGTAGCTTAAACAATGATCTCCGTTCCTCGGGTGCCCACCCGCCGGCCGTTGCTGCCCCGGCGCCAAACCCTTGACGGAAAATCCCCCCAACAATTTCACGCATTATTCGGGCCAGCTGTTCAAAAAGCAGGTGGACAAGCTGCAGACGGACCATCAGGGGACATTCGTGCTCAAGGACTCGAACTTCCGGTGGACTTCTCGCTACGCGGAAGGTACGGCAGTGTTCTCCGGCGTGAAGGGCCAACAGCTGATTCCCCCGCCAAAATCACCTACTGGTAGACGAACAACCGCGCAATCCGGGCAGGATTTAGGCAAAACAAATATCTCGCAATCCTTTGCTTCCCTGATGAAGGTCCCGTCGTCGTCGCCGTCTTCCTCCGCCCGCCGAGTGTTGGTGTTGTTGAGGGCGTCCGTACGAATCTCTCGCTCGGAGCACCTGCCCCCACACGGGGCAGCTAAGGCACGCAGATGACGGAAGGTCGATTCTCGTTGGCTCGATCCGACCCATGTGTTGTACACGAACTGCGGATGCGTTGTGAAATACTTGAACCGACCATGTGGTGTCCGTATTTCCTACTTCTGGTGCCTATTGCATTACAGCCTGCACAACCTCTGAGAACTTTGTTGTTTCGGGCTTCAAGACTTGATATGCATGCTTCAAAGTACAAAAACCTGGGCCCTACCCAATACTGAAACCTGTGCGTTTTTCTTGTTTCCTTTGGAGGAGGGTTGCCCAAAACAAGCCCTGGAGCGTTCTGAAGTGCGACTTGCCTGAAACATGCTGTACACCCGCCCTGTCCCCCCGGGCTATTGTCCTGAAGCGACCTTCACTCCTACTGTTTTTCGTTTTTTACGCTTGTTTTTGCCATTTTATTTGGTCCAGACGACACGGCGGGGAGTCGCGATCTGGTGAGCCGGTTGTTGCAGCTGCCGTGCGGCCTCGTGCGGGGGGCGCTGGCTAACCTCGGTCTGGTGGCCGTCGTGAGGGCGTCGTTCTTGGACGACCGGGGGGGCATGTCCGATTTGCCCGCCGTGTCTTTCACCATCAAGATCCGAGTGGGAGGCAACAACCAATAGCACGATCACATCGTGGTAGGAACCGTGCCGCCGCCGCTTAGTCGTTGCCGTACTGGACAGACTTTCGGGAGAGGGAGTTTTTCAGCCGTGCCCGCCGCCGGGCAGCGGCCTGAGCGGTGGTTTTGGTGGGGTTAGGCTCGGAGTGTTTATCGAGCACTGTATGCGGAAGGAAGGACACCGCGCCCGCGCGCCTCCCGTGCAACGCAACTGCATGTTAGGTCGTGGTGCTTTCAACATTCTTGTCGTGGAAGGCGTGTGTGTGAGAGCGCGCGCGTGTGTTTGGTTTTCTCCTCTCCGATGATGGGCGAACAATGTAGTAAAAATATCATCGTGTGCTTCCGCCTTGTCTTGTGTGTGCCACCAAGACCTTTCGTGGGTCGACCCTCAGTCAAAGTCGCAGACCGGAGAAGCCGTAAACCGTTTTGCAACGCCTTGGATACCCGAGGTTTGCATTCATGTGTACCTCCATGGCGGAGTCAACAGGGCACTGCTGTTGTGCGTGCACAAAATAACGATGCCTGAAGAAAGTCCCTCTCGCGTATTGTGCCGTCAGTTGTATGCATACGAAACAAGTTCAATTGTATCTTGTCGTTGGCGCTCATATCCCGACGAACTCCAAGTTGTGGTCTTTCCTGCCAAGGCATGCTCAAACGGCAGAGGTGTTGGCTGACCCCACCTGAACGCCTCGTAAAAACGCCCAAGCTCGTTGCGTATCGGGCAGAGAGGCAAAACTACGTGGTATCCGCACCTACAAAGTTAAAGCAGCAACATAAAAGGTGAACCCTTCTAAGTCGACTCGGCTGTGGAAGCAGCAAGGGCTGTAAATCCTTAGAAGGTCATAAACAGTGCTTGTGGACGTCGGTGTTCCCGCCCAGCAAGGCGGCATCAAGGCCCCTCATCCACAACCTCGGCGGCCCCCTTGGTGGCGTCTTGGATTCTTCGCCGCACTTCCTCCACCTTAACAATATCATTCAGCACACGAGAACATGTGCAGGACAAGATAGCGACGGCACCGGGCAGGGTCAGGAGCAACTTTCCACCGAATATGTTTTCGAGGGACGTCCCTGTCGAAAAGCAGCACACAAACATGCGGCATCAGCCCGCAGCCAAGGTTTTCGATCTATCGATCTATCCAAGTGGAATGCGCGCATGTAGCCGGCGGTGACACCGAAGTCCCGAGGCTCGTGTGCGAACCTTTCACTCTTTCGACCGTGACCCCATCTCCGACCGCATCAACACCATGCCATATGACAAACCTACTCACTCCCCACAAACCACCCGCACCGCGACCAAAAAACGAGATACCACGCATGTAGTAGCCGGTTGCTTTGGGATCTCGTGACTAGGAGGCAAGATGGCGAGACGTGGGGCGCCCCAACCACTGTCGGCGTCAAGAGTTTTCGTGGGCGGACCGGCATCACCACACGGCACGGCAGTCAAGTCTCACCGCCGTACATTGACCAAGAAAACATCTAGGACCAAGTAACTCGCGTTCACCGGCAACATACTTTCGTCGATGCCGCAAACCACCGCTACGCATACATCACGCTGTTGGAGCTCACGCACCTGTCCTGCTTCGGCCGTGACTCGGAGCACCACCAATCCCTCCGCCGTGAACTCCTCCGACAGCCGCTGGCAATCGGAGACCGCGTGGTAGACGCTTCCGACGCTGCCCACCGGGGCCGTTATGGTCAGCCCCAGCACCGGCGTTCGCGTTTCCCTGCAGAACAAACCGAACCGACGAGATCGGGAAGGAACAAAAGGGAGGCGGCGGAACATATTCGCTATGCAAAAAGATCGTGGCAACGGCGTCTCTCTCGGCATGGAAAGCCCACAAAACAACAAAAAAGGGTGCGGGGACGGCGGGGGGGGGTCTCTAACCTATCGGCAAAGCTACCACGGCCATGTTCACTCCTCGGCCGACCGACCCACCCTACCAGGCGGCTCGCTATTGTCCGACGACTAGACACCGCAAGCAAGGGAGGCCAAAAAAAGAAAAACAGCATGCGGGGGGATAATATATTCAAATGGCAAAACAACCAAGGCCGGCCCGTGCATGTCCATGCTGTAGAGCCTCGCGACAACGGGCTCCCTACACCCGAAGAGTCCCCCCCCCCACCGGTTCCCCCCCCTCGGTGTTTGCCATCGGGATTGGGTTTTCGTCGCTTGGCAACGACGTTGTAAAACAAGCCAATTCACTTCGTGAACTCGGCAACCAGAATACCGTTTTTTTTTTTTTACCTCTTTGTTTTTTTGGCGATAACCATAACGGTGGTCGAGTAGATCATGTTGTGCGGGGTGGATAAACCTCACTCCGCGCAAGGGGGATGATCGCACCACGTTGTGTTGAATTGGTCAAGCACCCTCGAGTAGTTACACAGAGCTTACAACTGTCTCTGGAAGTGAAAGCACCAGAAAAAAAACTAAGTCATACGCAGCTGTAATCCGTACGCAAGGAAGTAAGCGCAAGATGCCGAAAACCCTTAGCAGGATGCAGCGCACCCTTCATGCGACTCGCCAAATACCTCACGGCGCTTCGCGCTTGGTGATGTGAGAGCCTGGTCCGGTGAGAACCCGGCGTGCTCCGTCCCTGCTTTGTAGGGATGCGAGGTCAATGGTCTGACGACTACGGCATGCACGACTATGAGTACACCCCCCTCCCGGTTCATGCTGGGCTTCATGTTACTCCTGTAGATGGCAAGTCTAGGTACCGACGCTTAGGCGATCGGGAACTGACGGATACTTCCACCGACACCTTCGGCGCGCTCCCGACGCAATAAATCGCTGCCTGTAACGTGGTCCGCCCGTCGTTGAACTCTGCTTGTGCAGCCGAGGGCTCGAAGTTGCTCTCACGAGCATATCGTGTGCCGTGCCAAAAAATGGAAAGATGGTAGATCGGGCGGTCCATCCCACCCTCCTGCTGCTGCAAACGAAATCAAGCGACACTCGCAGCTCCGACTAAAAGGAACAACGACCGGCTCTTCTGCCTACCCTGTCCGACTGACAGCTCCGCGCCCTTGACGACCACGCCGCGCTCAATACCTCTCAGCCGCCTGTAGGCATTGCCTCGACGCCCCGCCGTAGGCCCGGCACAGCCCGCCTGTTCCCAGCTTGATGCCGCCCGAATATCGTGTAACCACCACCATCACCTTTCGGAACGGTAGCATTCGACGGTAACCACGTGTGTGATGTGTACCGCAATGGCGGCAGTGCTGTGAAAAAGGTAACTGTTCGTGCCACAACCGCAAGACGGGAGTGTGCTGTCCCGTAGAGATTTTCTGGGTCCGAACTACACCGGTGTGGTCGCTGGGTGTCATTGCACCTTTCTCGGACGGACGACGCTGTTCTGCGCTGCCCAACAAGAAACCAGATCCGGGGAAATACACGGGAGCATCCCCCAATCCCCGCTAGCGTGTGCGGAAGTAATGGTGAATGACAGGCCCGGATGCGTCCGACACGATCCAGGGACGGACAAGGAGTGGCAAAGGCTCGCGAACGTGAAATTTTTCGAGCATATGCGTCTTCGAAAGCGATGGCGCCCAGAGTGGTCAACAAACCGACGATTCCAAGTGGGAGAGTGACGTGAGGGGCAGGGCGAGGCGGCGACAATCATCATGGGCAAAGAACCATGCTTCTGCCATGTCGAAAAACACAAAACAACGAGTTTGGTGCTTACCGACGCAGAGAGATCACTTTACCTACCAAACTGCGTTTTCTTTTGTGTTCCTTCCGTCCGCACGCATCTGTTCAAAACTGCCCCCCCCCAAAAAGCGCGAGAGAACCAGGAACAAATACGATTTTCCTCGGGGGGGGGCGGTTTTGCAAGTCGCGCGCCGGGGGGGGGCGGTGCACCCCTACTCTGTGTTCGCAGCGGGAGAGATTTCAAGAAAACGACCGCATCACCTCGCTCACGCCCTCGCTCTCGATGCCCCCCAGGATGGGCTGTCCGGCCGTGCCGCCTTGCGAGACCATGATCAGGGGGGGGCGAGGGCGGAGGGAACCTGAGTGTCGCGGGGCATGGCTCTCAACAACGCGCCCAGGTCTTGCACCAAACATCAGGGCAAAGCGCAGATCCAGTCTGATGGGGGACTAGAAACGCCTCACTCATGCAGCAGCATCTAGACAGCGTCTTGTGGTTATTCCAAGTGGCCCACCTGGCTCGCCGTCGTCGCTGAAACGGTGGTCGTCCCCCAGCCCTCGCCAAGCCCAGCAGTTGTGTCTAGCTTTAGGGTGCTCCTTCACCACCCTTCGCACGCGAGAGATGAATGCAACAGCAGAATAGCAGCATCGCACGGACGGCATGCGGGTTGCTGCGCCGAGGCACTCGAGTTGCTGTTGAGAGGACGACGTCGGTTGGCAGCGGTGTCATTGCCTATGCGGGAGGTTGAAAGATGACACGATGATATTGGCTTCTACACCCATACGTGAAGGGGAGAAAATGACGCTAAACGCTTTGGCCAAAGAGTAAGGTCGAACCTCATGAGGACTCCCCTGCCCCCTAACCCGACTCTGTCTGACTTCTCCCCTTCGTCTACCCGCTCTCTCTCCGAGTGGTGTCTCATTGCTTTCTTTCTCTCTTTCTCCCCCCTCCCTCCCATGTTTTTCACCATCCTGTCCTTGGAACCTATTAGCGGGCTCCCAACCCAAACCCCTTGAGAACGGGCAATATGCCTGTGAGGACACTGACCTCTACGAGAGTCGTTAGTCCGACCTCGTCTCCAATGCTCTGCTCAGGTCGGCGTGACACACAGAGCCGACCAGCAGGCGGTGCGTATCGCTCACAACATCAACATATCAAAAGAAAAGAAAAAAGGAACCGTTAAGATCACCCTCACCTTCCGAGCAGAGCCTTGCCTTCCTCCAAGGTGGCCGCCGGCCCACAGCGCCCGATGAAGCGGCTCTTCTTAATCGTCTCCTCGGCCTCCGACTCGCCTGCGCGAGGCGGCGGCGGTCGTGATTATCTCCCGGGTTTGGACGTTTGTGGAGTAGGAAGTACAATCGAACAACAATGCACGCATCACGTACGTAGCCGCAAAACACGCATGAAAGTCGAGAGGTGATGAACACAATTAAGGTAAGGCGGTGTTAAGTAGTCGACCAAAATAAGGGTCGTCTTTGGCTTGCCGTCAGTTGTGACTTGTCCCGCCAACAACTAAGAGCAGTTGAACACTCACTGGAAGACCCACGCTCGTACAGCGACTTCAGTTTTACGACCGCGGGGTTGAGAACAGGGGGTGCAGATACCTGTCTTTAATTACATGTGGTACAAACTACTTGTGCTTCGAACCTTGCTGCGGTGGAATTATATCTGTTCTGGCAGAAGCTCAAAGGAGAACACTTCTGATTTCCATCTCCATTTTTACTGTAATAGTAGGCCCGAACGTTTCGAACCTTACCCGTACCTCTGCCGTGTGCTGGAAACTTCGAAACATAAGTCATCATACATTAGTCTGATATCTGTGCAGAACGCGCCACTCTTGAAAAATTCGGAGTCGATTGCTCGATGTTGACGTATGCATACTTCTATATACACAGGAATGTGCCTTACCAGACTCAAACCTAAACTGGTAATGTTTCCCTTATGGTTCGACGTTCATCATCAAACACGGAGAAGGCGTTGGACTGAATGAAACACTAAATAGAGCTTCATGATGTCCTTCATGATGTCCCAGAGAACACGTATGGATAAGAGAGTCATAAACATATACACATGAATAAATAAGGTTCTTCGCTCTCAGCGCTTTACTTAAGGTACTTCGCTCTCAGCGCTTGGAGCGTGATTTCGTGACTCCTAGACCTCGCCTCGCCGCGAGAGTTGCGCCTACCGGTAGCCCTGCGTTGCGAGCGCCTTACCCGCGTGCGTATCGCGCTGGGGGCGGCCGTGGCGTTGCGGCAACGAGCGCGCAAGACACGGTTCTACCGGTTCTCTGTGACGTCACGTCTGCGAAACCGGGGTCGGTTCTGTCACGTCACGATAGGCCCTTCGGAAAAAAACAGGCGGTGCAGACCGCACTCACTGTTGCAACAGAGTAGGCATGTTGCAACAGAGGCAAGGAGAAGTAACTACGTACGCAACAACAGGATGCACACTCAGAAGTAAGGACACGCAAGAAAGAGTCCTAGGAGAGTGAGGGTAATACGCCACCTATTTCAGCTGTACTTGCAGCGCACCCCAGCAGCAAATTTGCGGACAAATGAACGGGAAATCCGAGGAAATTTTTCCGCTGTGCCGACGGCGAATTACAGGACAAATCCGACGGAAAAGAAAGAGTCGTGTGAGAGTGTGGAAAACACGCCCATTTCAGCCTGTATTTGCAGCGCTCCCCAGCAGCAAATTTGGGGACAAATGCACGGAAAATCCCGGGAAATTTGTCCTCTGTGCCGACGGCGAATTACGGGACAAATCTTTTCGCTTCCGTGTAACATCCACCGGGAGCAAGTGACCATGCTCTCGACTACTTTCGGGGGTGGACATGTTCAGTTACGATTGCATTTTCTACCTGGCAGGCCTAGCGTCCCTGCCTCTAGCGGACAACACCGCTGTTGCCAATAGCCTTTCGGTTCCTCCTTCAGTAAAACTATTTTCTGTTTCGGATCCATGTCTCATCCACCAGGAGGATTGCTGGGTTGCAATGCCAAGGAAGTCTGCTGCAAAACCACCCATCATGCTCTCAATTCTTTTCAGGGGAGNGGGAGTGGACATGTTCAGTTACGATTGCATTTTCTACCTGGCAGGCCTAGCGTCCCTGCCTCTAGCGGACAACACCGCTGTTGCCAATAGCCTTTCGGTTCCTCCTTCAGTAAAACTATTTTCTGTTTCGGATCCATGTCTCATCCACCAGGAGGATTGCTGGGTTGCAATGCCAAGGAAGTCTGCTGCAAAACCACCCATCATGCTCTCAATTCTTTTCAGGGGAGAAAAAGTTCCGATTTCGAGTTCCATCCACTGCAGAGATTGCGCGTGTTCATGACCATGCACTTATTGCATTTCCCTTCCTGCTTCAGGGGAGAAAACTTTCGATTCGATTTCGATTTCATGAGGAAGATTGCTGGTGGAGTGCACTGCCAACGAAGTCACTGCTTTTAGGGATCAAAATTTCTATTTCGATTTTGTATCCCTTCCACGCCGGGAAGATTGCTGGAGGAGTGCGCATTGCTTTCAGGGNCACCCATCATGCTCTCAATTCTTTTCAGGGGAGAAGAAGTCCCGATTTCGAGTTTCATCCACTGCAGAGATTGCGCCTGTTTATGACCATGCACTTATTGCATTTCCCTTCCTGCTTCAGGGGAGAAAACTTTCGATTCGATTTCGATTTCATGAGGAAGATTGCTGGTGGAGTGCACTGCCAACGAAGTCACTGCTTTCAGGGATCAA